AAGTCCCTATTGTCTCATTTTTTTATTGAAAGGTTTTGGTTCATGACGTTAAGGTTTATCAAAGATATTTTAGAAACTATTTGTCTCACTACTTCGTGGGTCATTTGGTGATAACAGGGACTTGTTCCGTAAAAATAATAATAATAATAAAAGAAAAAAAAAAAAGAAAAAAAAGAAGAGTAATTTGTTCCATGAAGTTTGATAAGTCGATTTTTTGGGTGTATAACAGGAGCAAGAAGCTAAAACGACAGGTTGGATGCAATGCCTTACCCTTTCTTTTTCCTTATGTATTGTTTGTTTGTTGAGGTACTTGCTGGGCCGGTTCAATAATTTATACCGTTCAAAAAGAAAATTGCTAACATATACATAGACCTGTCAATGGGGCGGGTTTGGAGCGAATCACCCTTGATCCAAACCCGTTTAAAAAAATAAAAACATGACCCGTCCCGCTCCAATAACCCTCAGGGTCTTGAATAGTCGAATCCATACCCGTATCCAACGAATCAACGAATACCCGACCCATTAACCCGACCCTTTTATAATATTAATTTTTCATAATTTTTATGTGTTCCACAAAGTAATATTTCTCAAAAAGATAAAATGTCTACTTAAACAAGATGTACATTAACTAATACTCAAAGTCCAATACAATAAAAATCATATTTTACTTAGACATCGAATGGTATATTTTGTTGTCATATATATATATATATATAGATATATATATATATATATATATATATATATATATATATATATATATATATATATATAATGGTGCGGGTTATAAGTGGAGCGGATCGACAATGATCCATACCCGACCCATTTATTAAAAGGGTAAATGGGTATGGATCGTAAACGGGTAAACGAATCGAAAATTACAATCCAAACCCGTAAAATTCTTACGGGTTTGGAGCGAATCAGGGTCAAAACCCGCCCCATTGACAGGTCTACATATACACGATGTTGTTATGCTATAGGCCGCAGATAACACCTTTTCTTACTCTTTTAAACCAAATTGACAATATTAGTACAATATTGATTGAAGAAGGTAAATACATGTCTTCCTCCTCTTATCTACTCCTTCCGTCCCAAAATTATAGTTCATCTTTCATTTTTGGTTTGTCTCAAAATAATAATCCACTTCTAAAAATAAATAATATTTTTACCAAAATACCCCCTCATTATTACTTAACCAACTAAGTATTTAATAGAACATTAAATGCAAAATAAGGACAAAACTGTCATTTTATTGTATAAAGTCAGTGGTAATTAATGTTTCATTAATCTGTGTGTTTTTTGTCTGTGGACAATAATTTTGGGACGGAGATATAGAGGTGCGCTCTCATATCGTTGTTGTAAGGGTGTGAAGACTTGATCAAATGTGTTTGATCATCCTAATGGAGCACTTAGAGGCATATGAAACATCACAAATCCTAATTGAGCACTTGGAGACACATGAAACATCAAGAATCCTAATGGAACACTTGGATGCACATAGAGCATCAGGAATTCTAATGGAGCATTTGAAGGCACATGTAACTAGGGATGAGCAGCGAAACTGGGTACTCGCTTTCGGAACCGGAACCGCCTATCGGAATCGCCTTAAGTGGTTCCGGTTCCGGTTTTCATTTTTACGGAACCGCTACCCGCTATGTACCCGTCGGAATCGATATATATATATATATATATATATATATATATATATATATATATATATATATATATATATATATATCACAATCACATACGTTATACAGTATCCTCCTAAATAACATCAGTTAAAATTATAGAATTTTAAATAGTTTGTTTTGAACCTTTAAATGTCCATATATAATTTTCACTTTGAAATTAAACTATCTGTTTTTAAAATGAATTTATAGATAATAGACATAAATTACTGTTAGTTTCATGTTAAATTCTAACTCATAGAAATATTTGTTTAGCTATGACTTCAATTCTTTGAATGCTAACTCATAGATATAGTTTTAAATGTTTTAAAAATTCAACAAATTTAACGAACTGAGTACCCGTTATTGAAACCGCTACCCGCCGGTTCCGGTTCCGGTTCCAGATAATTAAGGCGGGTACCCGTCTACGCTCATCCCTACATGGAACATCAGGAATCATGATAGAGCATTTGGAATTTGGGATGGAGCATCTGGCAGAAGAGTAGAGCGTCAGAAGATGCGTCATGCATCAAGATGCGCCACCAAGGATCAAGGTGAGCCACCAAGGATCAAGGTGAGCCATTAGCGGCACAAGGTGCACCATTGTTGGATAAGGTGTTCCACCTTATGGCCATGATGCACCATCTAGGTGGTCCTGATGAACTATAGAGTGTTGATGTGTTGCTTATGTGCTACTTGAAGGAGGATGTGTCACCAATGGATATTATGCGGTTGTTTGGTGTCGAATCCAACAAAATAAATTATCAAAATATGATAAAAGAAAAACCAACTTAGACACACTAAGGATTAATACGATGAAAGTAAGGTTCATGTCCTCGTGGAAACAAATTAACAAATCATACCAAAGTTGTTCAAAATTAAGATCAGTCACTTAAACGAAATAAAAGCAATGGTAGTTTGCTTTTAGAAACTACTACTACTAGCACGAAATGTATTAAAAATAAAACATTACAATATAAATGTTATCTTTTGTTATACTAGCAGGAAGTGTATTAAAAATAAATTCAAATAATAAAAAACATTCCAACCTAATGGTTATCTTTTATTATAATTCAAGTTATGATCATCAATAATAATTATGGTGCAACCAACTTATAAAAAATAAATTATATTGACATGTTACTACCTCAAAACGAGTCCTAATAGGACCTTTTCACAACAGGTGCATTTGACTACATTTGACTACAAAGGTCTGACCGAGCAAAAATGTTGCACTAGAAGATTTGATACAACTTTGTTTAAAAAAAGTTGTCAATTTTATTAAAAAATGCAAAATTAATATTACTTTTTACCGTTTTGGCTTCATTTACGACAATTTCAATATCGAACCAAATAAAGAGACAAAATCCAGAACATAATTGCATATAAGCCGACAACATTAGACTAAATCATATAATACCTCATAAAGATCATTTAAAACAGAGTCCAAAAATAGCATCAGGAACTCGTCCATGGCTGCACCCAAAAAATGAAACTTACAAAAATAGGCAACATACTTTCAAGCTTTGGATAACAAACAAGAACACCTAAGTTCACATACGCATATGTCCGGACAACCGTTATCATCCAAGGGTACACAAAGAAAATGTTAAAACTTTTCAGGGTTCTTTTCGTCTTTTTTTATTCACAAGCTAATTTGGTATCAAAGCTGCTTAAACATATTGCAAATGCTTGAAATGCAGATAAAGGGTACCGATAATCCATAGTGAACATATCTTTACCAACTTTCCCAAACTGCAAGATTACTTTATCATGCTCCGGATGAGAACCCGAACCACCCGCTGCCGCTGCCGGTGGCGGCGGCACTGGCGGCGGTTGGGCGGCGATGAGTTGAAAGTTCTTGACGGAAGCAATTGTCACCCGTCCCCTGAAATTCAAACACCAGCACTGCAACTGTTCGTGCCACCTAGGCGCTTTGTTTTTTAACACCAAGGGCATTTTCGACTTTTCACTCTCGGGGACATCAGATGATGTGGCGGCTCCGATGATCTCGGAGAATCTTGAAGAGCTGAATTCGGTTGACCGGTCAAGGGATTTTGAGAAGGAAATTGACCGGAAGGAGTCTTCTAAGGAGGAGGAGGAAGGAAGGAGGAGCTCCGGTTGACCGGGGACTGAGCCGCCCGGGTCGAGTGATGAGGCGGGGATTGACTGCATGATGCAGTGCATCCTCCGTGGGCCCCGCGTTCCTAACACGTTGAGCTCGTAGGTGATATGGGCGATGTTGTAGCTGCCACTTGGCACTTTTGGGGAGACTTTTTTGGAGTGGAATCTTCGGCTTGATCTGCCAGGTGGCGGTTGTGTATTGGTGTTGAAATGTGGTGGTTGTGTGTCGTATATTATGAACTTTGTCCCAAGGAAATTTGATCTGAAATATTAACAACGATATAAAAATGTTGTACTTTGAAAAAAAAATTAAAGTAAAATGATTTAATAAAGAAAGAAATGAAAGTATCTTGCTATTATTTCTTGTATTTACCTTAGCTTTCCTATGTAAGTGCTGCTTGATCTTGAAATGTTATCAGGATCCATGGATATGACATACTCTGTGCATGTAGTTCTTCGTGTTCTTTTTGCAGATAGCAAGAACTTTCCATTTTCAACAAGCAAAGCAGCTGTATAACCAATGAGACATTTTGTGTTAACTTTATAAAAAATGTGTAATTTTTTATTTTAAATATTATATGTCAATGTTTACCTGGACTAAGACAAAGGTAAAGATGATATGTCAAGTTGGATTTATCCCTTTTGATGAAACATTGAATAGTGCCATCGCGAGATCCCGGCTGAAAGTGAAACGAAAAAATTGTTGGAAATTATAGAGAAAAAAAAAATACTTAAAATCGTTACATCAACAAAAGCATCTCACAAACCTGTTTCAGGGAAACCGGAAAAGTAATCTTCCCACATGATTCCGGAGTTCTAACGATCTCCTTACACATACTCCTCCAAGATCTACAAACAGCCGCACAAGCAACCACATGTTTTCTAGCAGGCCAACTGCTTTCACTCTCTTCCAATCTTTTAATCACATCAAAAAGAAGCTCAGGTGGGAGATTAGCCCATCGACTGTTTTGAATCACAAGAGCCGAATGATTATTATCACTCAAATCATTAACCGAACCCTGTGATTTCCCTCTGTTATGCCCCGAAAGCCTCACTTCAAAACCGCGCCTCGATAAACTCCCAATTCCATCCCTCACATCGCGAACTATGCTTCTGAAAGACATTAATTGCAAACCAAAGCACGATTTCTTTTTCCCACTGAAAAAAAGCTAAGATTCCATCAAATCTGAACTGTATTAGCCCCAATCAAGATCTGCAAAACCCATGTCGAAAATACCATCAAATTGAAGCTGCTAATTTGCATTTTGAAATCAGAAAGAGCATAAATGGAGATGTAAGAAATATAAATGATGAAAAATTATGTTTTTTTTTGTAATTTCGTGTTAAGTGATTCGAGAAAATCAAACACTAGATCCTGGAAGTATCTTCAGACATCACTTAAAAGTAAAACACTTTACTTTTTACTTCAAAAGGCGAAATTAGGGCAGATGAGAATTACATGTAATATAACCAAAATATGATGGCAGATTAGAGATCTTACCTTTGGGAGAAAAGTAGACCTTGAAACCCTTGAAGATGATATGTTAGGTCTGATAATTTTAAGAAGATTTTCTCATAGAACTTTCTACAAACAGGTGGAATGGAAGATTGAAGAAGCAGATCAGAAAGAATAAAGGGAAATTTAGGTCAGACCTCGAAACAAATATATATCACAGACACACACGCATGCTCTCGGTCTGAATCTCTCTCTGCTTCGGACTCAAAACGAACATTAAATCCAGCTCAACAAACCAGGGGAAGGTGGAAGGGGTGGAAAAAGTCTATGAATATTAAAACATTTTACTTTAGCGTCAGTTACTAAACTTCCCCTCAACTGATGCTAAAAGACATTTTTAGTACTCCAACTATTTCTCTAATTATATTTCTTAAAATGTCCCTTCATCAATTTGTTAAAAGGCTCGACGACCATAAACAACTTATAAACTATAATGCTATTTCTATTATTTATATATTTTTCAATAATTGTCAAATTGCATTAATAGAACAATATATACATAGTACAAGATACAATGGGATATATCGGGATGGGCTAATCTAATACATGCAACATATACAATACACGAGACATATACATACACCAATACACCCCCGCAGTTTAAGGGGTCCCTTAGTGAAGATATCAGTGTATTGAAGGCTAGAAGGGACATGAAGCACCCTAACTTGTCCAGTGGCGACTCTGTCCCAAACAAAGTGAATATCAATCTCAATGTGCTTCGTACGTTGGTGTTAAACGGGATTAGTCGAGAGATCAATTGTACTGAGACAATAGTGGCATTCGAGGAGGGAAATGCAGTTCTCGTAAGAGGTTCTAAATCCAATAGGTTTTAGCAACGACGTTGGCGACGCCTCGATACTCGGCTTCGGCACTGGACCTATAAATTGTAGCTTGGCGTTTGGACGACCAGGAAATGAGATTATCACCCAGATATACACAATATGTCGATCGGCAAGAAATAGGACAACCTCCCCATTCTGCATCAGAATAAGCAATCAAACATCTGGTAGAGGATGGGTGAATATGAAGATCATAATCCAGGGTATCCAGTCTATGGCGTAGAATGTGCTTGAGAGCATGGAGATGAGGCTCTCTGGGGTCATACATGTATAGAAAAATCCATTGAAGTGCGAAGGAGATGTCCGATTGAGTGAAAGTCAAATATTGCAGTTCACCTGCCAGACTGCGATAGAGAGTAGGATCGGCAACCGGAGCACTCTCATGGGCCATCTTTAACTGAGATTCAACTTGGGTAAGGTAAGGGTTACATGATGATATATTAGCATGATCCAAAAGTTCCAAAAGCATCTTGACTTGTGTCGTGTAGCAAATATGCCTAGGAAAAATAAGATAAGCCTCCCAAATCTGTCATAGCAAACTCCAAGGAGAGCATGGAGATAATACGCTGGAGAAGCATTATGGTGGTGGTCGTCAAAATAACACCATCAATGTACATCAATAGATAAGTGGCATCAGTCCATGACTGAAGAATAAATAAAGATGAGTCATATTTGCTATGCACAAAGACGATCATGGTGACAATTGCAGTGAATTTGTGGAACCATTCTCTGGGGGGTGTTTGAGGCCGTATAGAGACTTTTGAAGATGACAAACGTAATCCGAGTGATCTGGGTCATAGAAACCCGGAGGCTGATGCATATAAGCAATCTCACTAAGTTGGTCATGAAGAAAGGTATTCTTCACATCCAACTAATAAATCGACCAATAACGAGAGGCGGAAATGATGAGAACTGATCTAATGGTGACGGTTTGACAATCGGGATAAAAGTCTCGTCGTAGTCAATCTTGGGGAGTTGACTCTTTCCGTTTGCAACCAAACGGGCTTTGTACCTATCAAGAGAGTCATCTGCTTGGTATTTCTTTTTAAATAACCACATTGAACGAACCACATTAGCATCGAGAGGTCGCGGAACAAGAACCCACATTTTGTTAGAAATAAGAGCATCAAATTCATCTTGCATGGGAATGGTCCAGTTATGGTCATGAAGGGCATGGAGATGAGACTTAGGAATTCAGAAGTCATTGGATACGTGAAGGTTGAGACGAGAAATAGGTTTTGAGATATCGCTTTGAGACCTTGTAATCATGGGTTGAAAAGGAGGAATGTGACATATCGTCAGGGTGACCCAAAAAGGGGGTGTTGTTTTCAAGGAAGGATCGAGAGATAGGGGGTCTAGAGATAAGGGTGGGGATGGTGCGTCGACATGGGGAGAGTCATGAGGAGGAGTTTGACTAGTAGGACCGGAGTTGGTGGTAGAGTTAGGAGCATAATAGGTGATGTTGTTTTCAAGGAAGGATCTAGAGATAGGTGACATATCGTCAGGGTGACCCAAAAAAGTATAAGGTGGGGGTTTGTATGGAGACATGGATTTGAAAGGAAAAGAAGACTCATAAAAAATGCATGACGGGAAATAATGATCCTTCGAGAGGAAAGGTCAAGACATCGGTATTCCGATGCTAGGAGGGGTACCCAAGAAAAACATACGAGGTTGAGCAAAGTGTAAGTTTATGAGGAGGAGATATATGTGGGTAACAAAGACATCCAAAGACTTACAAGTGATCATAAAAGGGTGGTTTGTTAAAAAGATTGGAAAATGGTATGTCATTATTAATAGAGGTGGATGGAGTGAGGTTGAGAAGGTGAGTGGCCATATGAAGGGCTTCAACCCAATAGGTGGGGGCAGGTGAGCTTGAAATAGAAGGGTGTGGACACCCGATTCCTGGTACGTATTTAAGAATTTCATGTATTTCCTCTTGGACTCGACGAGTTGGTGGCCCAACTCGTCGAGTAGAGTCGTGATCCGCGGGAAGTTTAAGTGGCCTACTCGACGAGTCAGGGGACCGACTCGGTGAGTAGGAGCTGTTGAGTGAAACCCTAAATTTGAGGGTTTGCACCATATTTAAACAACTTATCTCAGCCTCCATCATCCCTATTGCTCCCAGAAGGCATTATCTCGAAACCCTAGCCGTTATTAGTGTGCTTTTGAGCCTTGAGGTGTTACTTTGTGTGTTTGAAGCTTGAAAAGAAGGAGGAGGCTTGTGAGATCAAGGGGGAATCAGGAAGATCCAAAGCTTTAGGCACATTTCCAGCTTATTGGAGGTATAAAGCTTAACCTTATCTATTATTTGTGTAGATCTTGATTTTGGTCCATTGTCCTCCATTTTCTAAGCCCTAGTGAGGATGTATTCGGGATTTAGTGTAAGGAATGAGTTTGTGCTTCATATCTAGGGCTATTGAGGGTTTTTATGGCATAAAGGCGCCCACCTTGTTGCCATAAACACCCCATGCACCTAGTAGACCACCTTTTATGGCTTTTTGGGCCAAGGACCCCATGCATGTGCATCAAGTTTGGAACTTTACGTGTAAAATGGACATTAGGAGGCCAGATCTATGGTTTTGATGTGTTAAGACCCATTTAAATCGATTGTATAGTAATGGTCAAGGATGAACTCGACGAGTTGTTCTTGGGACTCGACGAGTCAAGGTGTAATGACCACCAAATCATTTTCTGTAGAGGGATCAGATGATAGGGTGGAAAGTCCCTCAGTTGTTTAGGCTCATAAAGGACCTGGGAATCATGGGACTCGACGAGTGGTTAAGCAAACTCGACGAGTCCAAGGCAATCTCCCAATCTTTGAAGATGGACTCGACAAGTTGTTCATACAACTCAGCGAGTCATAGAATGGTCACCTTCTTATGAGGGCGATGAACTCGGCGAGTCGGATGAAGATGGTCCTGATGGTATGATTGAAGGAGAACCCGTCGAGTTCTTGCTAGACTCGGCGAGTAGAGACGGGGGTTGGTTCGAGTTAGAGGAGTATGGACTCGACGAGTTGGTAGACCAACTCGGCGAGTCAGGTCAAATGGATGTTGACTTTGACCAATGTGGACTTTGACTGAATTGAGTTGACCCTGGTTTGAGTTGCATGTTCGATTTGATAACTTAGAAGGGTTGTCGTGTAGGGATTGAGGAGTCGAGGGGAGTCGACTTTCACGCCGAGGACATTTCAGACACTACACGACATCGAGGTGAGTTACCTTCCAGTAGAAGTGGGTCTAAGGCACCAAGGGCGGCCCACTGGTAATTATTTAGTTGAGATGATTGTCTTTGTGATAATCATCTAGTTTGCTTGTGCTTGATATATGTGTATGCTAGTATGCTATGTTATGTGAGATAGTATCAGTAGGAGGGGACTAGTCCCCGATTCGGTCGCTAGGACCAATGGGTAGGTCGGACACCCCAGATATGTCTGACAGCATGATTATGATATGATATTATATGCTAGCGGTAGGGGGTGAAATAGTCCCCGTATTCGGTTAAGATAGACCGGAGGGTAGGTCGGCACCCCAGAATAGCCTGACATGGGTAGGTCAACACCCCAGAATGGCTTGACATGGGTAGGTCAGCACCCTAGAATGGCTTGACATGGGTAGGTCGGGCACCCCAGAATTGCCTGGCATTATGTATGTGGTTTTGTTATGTGGTATGATGGGGGAACTCACTAAGCTTTGTGCTTACAGTTTTAGTTTTGGTTTCAGGTACCTCTTCATCCAAGGGGAAGGAGCCGGCAGTGTAGCAGCGCATCATACACACACATGATTACCGCATGAAGTTTCTGGGATTGTACTCTTGATTTTCATAACTCTTGATATTGTAATTTCGAAACATGACGTTATGGTTTTTATAAGTTGATGTAACCTTGACAATGTTTTGGTACACTATTTCATGAGGTACTTAATTTAAAAATGAAAATTTTAGCCTTGAAAATTGGGATGTTACAAGTTGGTATCAGAGCCTTGGTTTGAGGGATTCGGACACACCCTCGGGGGTGTCTGAACTCAAACCGAGGGCTTGAAATATGTTTACAAAGAAATAGTTTTTCTAAAATCAAAATTAAAGAGTTTTGAGAAAGAGCGAGGTGTGTGATGCGTGCGACCGGCCGAGCTCAAGTAAGTTTTCCCCAAGATACCCATACGTTTTATGTTATGTCATATGAAATGAGTATGAGAACTGCATGCTAGATTAGAGCTAAGGATCTAGGAAGGATGCCTTGTATGCCTGTTATGTGTTTATGAAAACTGCATGCTAGAATAGGGCTAAGGATCTAGGAAGGATGCCTTATATGCCTGCTATAGGAGCTCATTGAGCCGTATGTTAGAGCTGTTAGGTAGCAGTGAGATAGCTTGATTAGGTTATGCTTGGATTGGTTACTCAATGCATGAATGCTGCTTGCTTTGTGCTATAGGGGTTCTGGCTAACTTTAACTAACTAGTAAGCGAATATGTAATAGTATTCGCAAGCTATTTAGGGTAAGGTGGTAGGGACTCCTAATGCAACTGATGGCAGAGAGTAGGTCGGAGGGTGCCCTAGGAAGGCCTAGGATGAGATTAGTTGGAAAGGGATATTGGTTAAGGGACTTGGTGGAGTTGAGGCAATCCTTGAGGAAAGTACGGATAGATGTGGAAGGTAGTATGGGCGCGTACTACTGAAAGCAGAGGATCCGTACTCGAGTCAGGGAGAGCCGAGATGGAACCAGGAAACTTGGGGAGTGTGAGACCTCTCGGGAGTATGTATGATCCTGACGTTTACGTGTTTATTTTCAGTATGGTGGTCACATGGCATGGAGCAGGAGGTTCGGGATCTGGATCAGGATCAGGCTCGGGTGCAGGGTCCGAGCAGGTCGATGACGGACTACGCGAGTTCATCGCATCTAAGATCACTAGAGGTATCCTTGAGTCGACCCCTATCATTTTCAGGTCGATCAAGGAGGGGATTATTGAGTTGATGGAGGATCGCCTCCAAGGGTTAAGGAATGACTCGGCATCCAGCCAGTCGGGTACGCACACATTGTCCTTCAAGGACTTCAGGAGGAATGGTGCGTTGGACTTTCACGGGGTGAAGGACCCCATTGCTGCCAGGAGATGGATCGCAGACATTGAGTCTGCGCAGTTGACGAGCTTCTGCCCGGAGGGGTCGAAGGTCCGCTTTGCTACGGGATGTTTGAGGGTTAGAGCTATAGAATGGTGGGAGTCAGTTGGTGACTTGTTCGGAGCCCCAGCCATCGAGGCTATGACTTGGTCAGATTTTGTGACCAGGTTCGGGACTGAGTTTGCGCCAGTTGTGGAGCTTCAGCAGCTGGCCAGAGAGTTTCTTGATATGAGACAGACGGCCGAGACAGTGGCGGAGATCACCGCCAAGTTCAGGGAGAGGGCCTTGTTGGTACCTCAATATGCGGGGGATGAGGAGATGCGGAAGACCCGCTACCATGATATGTTGAGGGCTGATATCCGGGAGCATGTCAGCTATTTAGCCTGCCCGACCTTGGAGTCCATGATTGCCAGGGCGCGGGAGAGGGAGATTGATTTGGAGCATCTCAGGAAGAGGAAGGCAGAGACTGAGCAGGTTACAAGGGTTTCGGGGAAGAAACCCAAGGGATCCGACATTAGGTCGAAGGGCCAGCCGGGCCAGAGCCGCTGCAGGAAATGCGGCAGGCCGCATGAGGGAGCTTGTAGAGCGGGATCGTCAGGCTGCTACAAGTGCGGCAAGACGGGGCACTTTAGCAGGGATTGTACTGCCCCCACCCCCACAGTTCAGACATCAGACCTGATTTGCTTTCATTGCAATCAGAGGGGCCATAAAAAGGCCAACTGCCCTAGATTGTCAGCAGTATCAGCAGCAGCGCCAGTGGTGGCGCCGACTCCAGCGACAGCACGAGTTGCGGATGGCTGGAAGGTCAAGGCAGAGGCTCCAGTGGTGCAGAGCCGAGCATTTCAGTTGACAGCCGAGGAGGCATGCACCGCACCCGATGTGGTGATGGGTATGATTTCTTCCTTATGTTCTTATTTTATGTCGCTGTGATTTTGATATGTTAAATGTATGCTCTATTTAGGATTGTTCCATGTGAACGGTATCCTAGTTCAGGTGTTGTTTGATTCGGGCGCTACCCGATCATTTGTCTCTCTTGCGTTGAGCAAGAAGTTTTCTAAGTCCTCGGGCATGTTGGATTGCCCTCTAGAGGTCGAGATTGCAGATGACCGGTCAGTACGAGTATCAGAAGTTTTTAGAGACTGTGTTTTGAGACTGTTCGAGGAGCGCTACCTGGTAGACTTGGTTCCCATACCTTTGCGGGGGAACAAGGTTATTATAGGTATGGATTGGCTAAGCCCCAATGGGGCGGTGATCGACTGCGCGCAGCAGTTGGTGCGGATCAGGACCCCAAGTGGGGGAGAGCTGGTGATTCAGGGCGAGGGGTCACAGCGAGGGCCAGCTTTATGTTCAGCAGCGAGGGCTAGGCACTACCTTCAGCAGGGTTG